AACAGTTTTACCACATGTGGTTCTATAGATCCTTTTACAATAAATTTCTACAGAGGTTATCATAGTTGTATCTTGTACTAACTCTGCACTTCTAGATAAATCATGCATAACTTTAAATTTATTGTTGATGGTTCCTTTAATGTGTTGAACAATTTGTTCTGGTGTTGTTGTATTTGGAATATGAAGATCACATTCTTCATAAGTACTTTTCAATTTGGCTCATAATTCATATTGGCCAGTTCCTTTTTGAACAAGATAAATTTCCACCATACTATATTGTATAAGTCGATATAAACTTAAAGCCATTAAATCTACAGTAGCCTTTTTTCAGTCCTGTAGTCGCTTAATTACAGTATTAAATGCTTCTGATTGGTTTTTTGTAATTTCAAGAAAATCAAACTGTTTAAGTCTCTAAGATCAAAGTTTGTTACTGCACTATGAATTTTTTTGCTATAGTACTCAAAAAAAGCAAGTTTAGGGCATACTGATTTCATATGTTGCCAAAATATGGAATGGGACATTAGTGCTTTCTGCTCATGTATCATAATGATTGGACTTAGGTCAACTTAGTTTCTCTAAATAGCAAAGCAGAAAGATAGAAGTTATATATATGTATATATATATACATTGGATTAAAAAAAAGTATATTTATTTTTATCATTTAAAAAGGATTTTGAAGATATTAAAGATTAAAAAATTAAGATTTAAATATGTAAAAATAAATTAATACTTTTAAATCTTGTTTGAAAAAATTTTTTTTTAAAAAAAAAAAACTTTTAATTATATAAAATGTTTCAATTTTTTAAATGTTTTTTTTTTTTTTTTAATCAATAAAACAAACTAGCTTATGGTAAAAGCTAACCGAAGCCAATGGCAAAGTTCTTAAAATATTTAAACAATTATTTTTAAACAAAAGCTTGAAATAAGTGATCATTAAACTTTAACTGTAATAACTATAACTGTAAGAATTGTATTATGATATATTTATCACTTTGAATAATCAATGGTTTTACTATTTTTGCTATAACATTGTAGCTTAAATTTTGTATTTTGTTGAACATTTAAAATAATTTTTTTGATGTGAAAATTTTTTATATATGTATATGAATTAAATGAAATATGAAGTATGATAAATGATGAAGAAAATGATCAAAAATGAAAACTATATATGATAATTAAGCCACTGTCATACATGGAATATCACTTGGCTCAGTGTGCAGTTTATGTATTGTATATATATTATTCGTAAAAAAAAATTTTTTTGATTTTAAAACTTTTTGGGAAATACAAAGGAAAAAACATTTTTCAAGCAATTTTCACAGTGGAGTTACTTAAGGTCCGGAAATAAAACACTTTCAGATTGTTATTGAAATATTTACAGTAAACAACACGGCTTTATGGTTGATAAAAAAATTATTTAGCAAACAAATTGTTATTAAGTGGATACATAATATGTAAACACTTAAAAAAAAAATTTCATTTTGCTTATTATGTATTCCTATTATGCATTTGCTATGTTTTTTTAATCTATCGTGCAGCTGTTATGTATTAAATAACATTAATAATTGAATCATGCTTTTAATATTCAATAAATAAAGTTATTATTTGCTTATATCATCTTTAATTTGGACTGGTAACTAATTAATTAGTATATTAACTCAATAAAACATTATGAATTGTTTATATAATGCTTCTATGTGGAATTATAACATTCTTATTTTTTTAAATTTCCAAAATATATTTTACTTTGATAAGCTAAATGAAAGGTTCTCACTTTATTTTTTAATTAAATAATGAACTCATATTGTGATATCAACTAGAGCTCAAAAAAGCTTAAAGACCTACAAAGGCTTTAGAAAGAAGAATATTTAATAAAAAAGATTTAGTAGAAAACCATAAAATGTACACGTGAGCGATTCGCCAACTTACAAACAGCTCATTCAGTATGGTTTTAAGTTTAAGGAAGATTTATTTTATGGGCAGAAATTAAATTTTGACTTGAAAATTGATGTGACAAAAGTCAGTTGTTTTAACCTTTGATAAAAGATAACCCATTAAAAAATAAACTTTCCATATAATTTAAAACAATTTTTTTAAATGTTAAGTGGTAAGAATTTTATATATGTAGTTAGAAATTCAGTATGCTATCCGCCCCCTGCCCACCACCACCACCACCACCTTTTAAAGTTTGCAGAAACCTTTGCAACAAATATTTTCAAAATGATTTAATAATAAAACAATAAACATTTAGGCAAGCTAGATGTCATGAAAAGTGAGTGCACAATCAAGCATAGTTTGTCTCTGTGAGAAAAGTAAAAAAGTAAAACATGCAATTTTTTTTACCAGTATTATGTTTGTTGTACGTGTTTACTTGAAAGCATGGATTTACAAATATATTTCACAAAAATGGTAGATAAAGTAAAAGAAAAGAGCATTGGTTGCTTATCTCTAATCATTGACTGTGTAATGACTGAATATAAAAATTGAGTGTGTAAAAAAAAAAGACTGTGTAATGACTGAATATAAAAATTGACTGTGTAATGACTGAATATAAAAATTGACTGTGTAATGACTGAATATAAAAATTGACTGTGTAATGACTGAATATAAAAGTTGACTGTGTAATGACTGAGTTCTTTTGTGAAAAAACAAGAGTGGCTAATTCAATTCATACTATGTGTTGTCAAGAAATTTTACAATTAAAAGTAATTGGTGTAGATGGAAAAAAAAAAAAAAAAAACTCAGTTTATAAAATTAACAAATGACTTTTTGAAAATACAAGACAATGAAATACAAGAGTAATGGGTCAAACTGTGTCAAACCTGCCTTGTGTCAAACTACTAAATATAATCATCATGTCACTTTTACTTGTAAAAATCCTTTTTTTAGTCATAACATTTTCTTTTTAGCAGTTGTTTTATAAGCGTTTATACGTTTAGCAGTTGTTTTATAAGCGTTATGTATAAGCAATAGTTCCAGGCGATACATATTCTGGCGCTAGTGTGGATGATGGTTTGTTTGTAAAATTAGGGTTGGTTTTTTGCTTAGTTATATCTGAAGTAAATGGAAAAAACAATCAACCTAAAAATTATTCTTCAAAAAAGATTTCTTTATAAAATAATACATTTATCAACAAACAGGAGATAACAGTTCAAGAGAATGTATTGATAAATCTTCAGGGTAACTTTTACTGATGCTGTGAAGAAAACTTCCATTATGCAATGCTACTAGATGATGAAGTTGTAATAGATTGTGCTCTTATTCAAATCCTGCAAATTAGGTATCCAGGAAAATTGATTCAAATTTTAAGCTTAAAATCAAATATAAGTCAGTTAAGCCCTTGCTTTTCAAAGCTGATGTTTGAATTGAGGTTTCTTCGATAAAGGTTGAGCTTTTGAGTTTTTGTTTATTCAAATGAGTTACTACAAGCTATTCAAAATGGTAATAAACTCTCTCTTACTGATAATAATTCCCAAAATAAAAATAATTTGATAGGTAAGTGTTTTATTAAGTTATTTTTATTTTTGTTTGTTCAGTAAATCTATACTTTTTATACCATAACATCAAAAAAAATATTGGTGCTTTACAAATTTGGGGTTGGTTGGGTTTTGGCTATTTGTAGTGAGTCCTTTTTTACTGCAGCATGGAATAGGCGTAAGTCGCAGGGTAAAGCATAAGTGGCGATGACGTTTGTCTGACGGGATAAACTAGTTATAAATGCTGATCCTCATCGAAATGCCAGTAATAATAGACGCGACTCTGAGGAGATGTTTATTACTTAATCACTACACTAATTATGTTTACACATTAGCATTAATGTTTTTTTTTTCCATTATTAGTCCTTTCATTGTTGTTAGCATATTTTTAATTTGTTAAATGGTTTTTTGTTTTACAAATTTTTGACTGGTTATGTATTTCTTGTATATTTTAGTTCATATTGGTATTTATAAAACAATTTTTTTTATTTTTTTATTTTTTTTATTTTTATATATATATATTTTTTATTATTTATTTTTATTTTTTATTTTTTTATTGTTATTATTGTTGAGTACTGTTTTAATTGTATAGCCTATCTTATTTATTTTTAAATATTCCTCTATTAATCTTTATTTTTGTCTTGACAACTGTCAAAATATGCTTGGTCTAATAAATAATTCTCCTTTATTCTAATGTACTTCATTTCTTCCCTCAGGCGTTCACTGCTCGTGTGTGACCATTCAGCGAATTTTATATGCCAAAGTTTTTAAATAATTCCCAATTGGTAGAAAGAGCTGTAAAATCTAAAGCTTCTTAATATTTTCCACACAAAAAAGACTTTATTTTGGCTAAAAACCAAAGCAGAACCAAAATTAAGAGAAATGTAAAAAAGTTATATATATATATATATATATATATATATATATATATATATATATATATATATATATATATATATATATATATATATATATAATAATAAACACCCCAACCAGAGCCAGCGAGAACAAATTTTAAATATACCAATTTAAAAAAAAATCATGGCTCTCTCACATTTGCAAACTAAGGTACATTTTGATGACTGGTTCTAATAAAATTCATTGTTTAGAAGAGGGTGTGTGTGATACACCCTTTTTTAACAACCCTGGCCTCAACTACTTTTAAACACCGCAAATTTTAAAGAGATTTCTGTGAACAATTGACATGAAAACTTGAAAATTGCTTCATAACTAAGTATTTTAGAAAAAACTCTTCTTAACACTTGAGAAAAAACACAAATATATGAAAACTTAAAAGTTATTTACCAAAATGATTATAACTCCAAATTGTCTAATTTTTTTAAATTTATGTCTATATTTATGGGTCACATTAATCCCAAAGTGAGCCAATGTGTTTAGATTGTGTTTAGACAGTGGCTTAATGATAATATATGAGTTTTATGCTTGTAGTTATTTATATATATGTTAAATCCAAAATTTATTAAAATTGTATATATTTAATTATTTTTTGTTTTTTTACACTAGAAGGTATTGATTGGGTTGGCAGTTGGGCTAGCAATTGTGATTTCCTTGAGCATGACTTGGCTAATGTTAAAATAAAACGACACCAATGTGGAGGCAGATGCTCTTCTACACCTAACTGTACTCATTTTTCCTGGAGCAGCGATAATGGAGGAACTTGTTGGATGAAATATGGGACTGTTTCTAAGTATGATGCAATAAGTGTCAAGAAAGACATGATGTGTGGAGTAATATATGAAAGTAACATTATTTACAACATTCAAATTTTCTTTTTTTATTTTGTATATTTATTTTTTTAATAAAATATGCAAATATTATATATATATATATATATATATATATATATATATATATATATATATATATATATATATATATATATATATATATATAAGGCTGTATTTGTTTATATTACTATTTTTTAAGTAATTATTGTAACTATAAGTAATTTTTTTTAAATAGTTGTAACTATAAATATTATTTTTAATTTTTTTATAGAGCCTCACAACTTAAATTATATATGGTGTTATTTATGAAGTAGATGCTTTTTCTCAAATTATAAATTATGGTGACACTGTTTTAGAGCTATTTAATGCTATTGATTAACAGCAGCTGAGATCAACTCATAAAACCATATGAACTAAATATAAAACAAGAAACCGCATCATACTGCCTTTATTTTTTCTCTGCCTGCGATATCTAATAATTACAAAATATGTATAATTGTGTCATGATTTTGGCAGGCTTCAAGCAAGTAAAAAAAATTATAAACATAAAAATATATATATTTGTATAATTTTCACAAATATTTTTTATGATTTAGTAAAAAATTATACAAATATTTGATTTTCTGATTGTAGTAGAAAAAATACTTACATCTTTAAAAAAATAATAGCATAAAAAGGCTATTTTAAAAAGACATTGCAATGACGTCAGATACTGAAACTGTTATGAATTAAACACGTATGGAATAAATTGTAAAGTCTGCAGATTGCAAGTAACCTTATACAGACTTCGAGAACCAAAAAAAAAATGATGAGTTTTGACTAAAACATGAATTTTTAAATTAATGGTGTGCATTCATTATTTAGTTTTAATCAAAAAATTTCAGCCCAAGCATTTTTTTAAAACATTTTCTTTAATATGAACACCACTTGTTTTGGCACTTTAATATGAACACAAATTGTCTCGGATCCCTTTAAATATCTTTTTATTTAGTTATTCTTTAAAAACTCCTCACATGATATTTTTATTTATTTATTATTAAGTTGTTAAAATAATAATTTAAATTTTTAGAAAAAAACCTGCACGAGACTATCTAGGTAGGTAGCCATCATAGCTTGTCCAATAGGTAGCCATCATATGCACTCAATTGCTTCTGCCAAAGCCTATATATATATATATATATATATATATATATATATATATATATATATATATATATATATATATATATATATATATATATATATATATATATATATATATATATATATATATATATATATGTGTGTGTGTGTGTGTGTGTGTATGTGTGTAGGCTAATCCGCGATAGTGGTAGAACTCTCACCTTAAGCAAGAAATTTTTGCTTAATTAGTTTGATCCCCACCATGGGGAGGTGAGTTGAAATAATATACATACATATATAAAGTTTATATATATATATATTTTATATATATAAATATATATATATGTATATATATATATACATATATATATGTATATATATGTATGTATGTATATATATATATATATATATATATATATATATATATATATATATATATATATATATATATATATATACATATTTTATATATATAAAATATGTTGATATTAAGTTATATAATACAGGCCTTGATGGGAGTAAATAAGTAAAACAAACATAATAACCATACTCTAAACAGCTTTTTACAAGAGATTTAAAAACTTATCTAAAAAATTAGTTGTTAAATACAAAATTTTGGTTTTATACTTGTTCCAAACCCAGGGCGCGACAACGTTATAAACTTTGATGTTTGTTGATTTAAAGATGAGCGTCTAATTTAAGAGATATAGAGTAAACTAGGGTCAAATGGAGTAGTTAAGGATTTTGATTATTAATTTTTCCTTTTGTTAAAGTTGTAGAGAGTATTGAGCTGTATTTAAATATGTAAAATTTTAACAATTTTTTTGTAAACTTTTTTATTTTTTTATTTGATTAAAAACTTTATTTAATTAAAAAAAAAAACTTTAAACTTTATTTGATTAAAACTAACTTGATTTAAACTTTATTTGATTAAAACTTTATTTGATTAAAACTTTATTTGATTAAACTTTATTTGATTAAAAAAAAATTTATTCCATTCTACACTGACATTCGGGGAGAATGAAATACACAAATATAAGTGTAATTAAAACAACACTTTATTAAAAAAACAAAAAAGCAATCAACAATAACAATTAAAAAAACAATCAATAATAACAATTAAAAAAATCAATCAAATAAAATAAACTTTTTTATTCTTGTGATGATGTTGAGCCGTTTAGAGGTACTAGAGGTTGTGCGGAACTTTTTGTAGCAATTAAATTCAGCGCTTTTTACGTATCGCTTTGGTATGCATGTTTGGCATAGCCAAACCTTGCAATTTGAATTTTCACACTGGTGCCATTCCATAATTTGACTTGCTGAAGTTTGGTTTGCAGCAAATATTTTCGTTGGACTTGTTGCTTGGTTTATTTGCTGTTCTCCATTAGAGCTAAGCTTAGGTTGTTTTTTAGCATGCTTTGCTGCTTTTTTGCTCTCAGCATTTTTCAACCTTTCTAGTATTTTAGGTTTGAAATAAGCTATTGCTTCGTATTTATTTATTTATTAGCGTATTTCATTCAACCCCGCAACACTCAGTTTCCGTTTTTAACTCATAATTTTTTTTCCTAAATAGAAATTTAATTTTGAAAAAAGATTCTTGATCAGCGTAAAAAGTTGTATCAGTAAACATTTTAAGTTCAATGATTCCAAATTTAATTTCCGAGAGTTTTAAGTTCCCTTTTCAAACAAATAAAAAAAATCTTATTAAGTATTCAAAAACTGATAAATTTATAACTAATTTTTTTAAATTAAAAATAAAATTTTATACAATTACTCAGAAAAATATTCTCTACAATATAATCAAAAAATATTTACAAAAAAATTATTCAATAGTTAATTAAAAGCGAAAGAATAAAAATTGTCATAACTATTTCATTCTACCCGCTATTTCGTTTTACCCTGTTTTACTCTATGTCATGTAAGGATGTTTTATTTTCAAATCATTTTTGTTCTAGTTAATATAACACATACAAAAACCATGCTAAAACAAAATAACTTTTTTTGATAGCTTACTTAGTTATTTTATTTAAGAGAAAATCCTTAAAGAATTTTTGATAATTAAGAATCTAATAAGAAACACGGCTGTTTCACTCAATATAAAAGTAAGCTTGACGTCACAAGAATTTTTGTGTTTAAAAAAAAAATGAGTTTCCACATAAAAAGTATAAAAATTCACTGACTTTAAATTAATAGTATTTTTTTTTCTATAAGCGCTTTAATCTTCAAATTAAAAAAATATAAAAGAACTATCTTTCTTCATTGAATAAATATTTACATGAAACGAAATAAAAATAAACATGTCAAATATTTTAAATGGTTTTGGACCACTTTTCTGTTTTTGCGTATTTTACGGAAAACCTGTCTTGAGCCAATCAAGATTTGATATTTTAAGCTACATGCTTGATGATTGAAGTTTTACATACTTATAAACGAATGTCTATTTTATCAGATTTTTAGAGGGCATAGATGAAAAAAATAGTTTAGTTTTTTAGCATTATTCTTTTTGTTTTTACTTGTTTTATATGAAAAACGCTCAATTTTTGTTATGCCCTCCAAATTATTGAAATTTCAACCCTTTATGCACATGAAAATCAAAAAAATTACTTTCTGTACTTCTAACTAAAACTTCTTTAACCTTGGCAAATTTTGTTTTGCTTTTAGTAACAAAATTTGTAGTTACATGCGTAAAATTTTTGTTTATATTTTAAAGCAATGACGTAACTTTAAATAAGTTACTTCCCAATTCACTATGTAATTAAATTTATTAAAATAGCTTTTTTAACAAGACAAATTTTAGTGTATAAAAAAAAAAAAACTTTGGCGGTTTTTTTCTCTTGTGGCTAATCTACAAACATCGGATAAGTTGTTTAATCCTCTGATATCTCTTGCATGCTTGTTATTTGTCAATAATTATTATTTGATTTTATTTGTTTGTATTATATTTTTATTGAGAAGTTTATTTATCACTATGCATTCAAGTGAAAGGGAGATATTAATACTATACATTGGATGGGAAAATGGCTGGGAAAATGAATGTAACTTTTCTTTTATTAAGCGATTAATGAACACTGATAAAATCACTAACAACGTGATTTTAATTTTACTTAAAGTCTTTCCATCTCAAACATTGTTTAGTTTTATAAGTTTTATTATGCCAATTGAGTTTAATTTGTCTATTATTGAAGACTTTAAAAAAATGTGCAGGAAAACCTCCGCTCAGGTTAAATAATGGAATATAAGTCTAGCATTAAATGGGTGTAAAAATGTGGTATATTATTTTAATAACCTATGCACAGAACAACTGGTTTGTTTTTGTGTTTGATCTGGTATGTATGTGCAGTTTATTTAAAACATTTATTGTACTTTTTTACATGTAACATGTTTTTTATATATTATTCCATGTTCATTTGATTATTATCATTAGAAGTTAATTCTACCTCTGTGGTACCACTGCTCTACCTCAGTTCTTGTTAACAAATAGAATGTAATTCTCATATATATCAAATTTGTGTAAAAATATAATTGAAGAACTATAAGTTATTGTCAAAGTTTTGAGTCAAGCAACTGTTCTTCTGGTTTAAAATGAAGTATGAGTCTAGGATCAAGTGTTTGTACAAAGATTTACTACTTAAAGAACTTATCAACGGACCAACTGATTATAGAATAGTTTTTTATGAGAATAAAAACAATTTCAAATTGCTATTTGTATATTTAAACACACACAAAAAAAATTAAAGTTGGTGTCTTTATTTATTAACATTCTCACATTAGAACTGTGTGCACATAATAAAAAGTTTTTTAAAAGCTTAAGCTTTAAATTTTTAAGCTAAATATTGTAAAATGTAAATCTGTTTTTATTTGATTCAATTTTCAAAAACTAGTCATTTAACAGTTTATCTCCCTTTTAATGACATTTTCGTAATTTTGCGAAAATTTGATTTGTTTTACTGGCATAAAATAACGTCTGTTTTAGTTAACCTTAAACATTTAAGTAAAATTTTTTTGTTTTTATAATAGTCCAACAATGTGTACATTTAATAATAAATATCGAAAATATATTCTCTCTAAGTTTTTTTTTGATAAAAAGTAACATCAAATTACTAATAATTAGCCAAGTTCAACATTTGCCGCGTTTATTCTAAAATTAAAAAAGTTTTTTAATATATCTGTGAAACGTCATCAAATAAAACATTTTATTGGTGTTTTTATTCTTTTTACAGAACAAAATTATCTCTAATGTTTCAAAAGTTATAAAAGTTTTAGTAACACCCCTTACGAGAATATTTTCAAAAAATAACAAGAAGCCGTAAAGCTCGCTTGAAACAGCCGTGGAAAACATGCCAAAAAAATTATGTATTTTTTATACCAGTGAAGAAATAATGTACTAATATTTGCATCATGCATTATTATGATATAGTTTCATTTTTTTTGGAATTAAAAATTAATTTTTAGTTCAAAAAAAAAAAATGGTAGAACAGCTTAAATGGTGGAAGTGGTTATAAAAAAGTTAAGAGATCACACGAAGAATTGGATATAAAAGAACCAAGAATTTGTTAAGAATTAATAATAAAAATGCTAAAAATCTGTTGTGTTTAAAATTGTTCTAATAACAACATAATGTAAATAATGTAAAGATTTATCCTGATCACTTCTTTACTTTCTTTGACTTTTAAATTTGAATTCTACACAACTTTTTTTGGGTAAATTAACCACCAAACTGTTTATAATAAAGTGTAGATAACTTTTATACTGAATTTATGTCGTTAATTTATTATTATTGCTAAATCTCCACATGCTTATTAACATACATACATTTAAACATACTACAATATCACAAATTATCCATTTAATAATGCTTAAAACATTTTACTAAAAGAGCTAATTACTAATTATTATTAATTAAATATTAAAATTAAATAAGAGTTAATAATTTGATTATTATTTTATATATATACCAAATATATTTTTGCATATATACCAAATATATTTTTATATATATACCAAATATATTTTTATATATATACCAAATATATTTTTATATATATACTAAATATATTTATATATATATACCAAATATATATTTGCCAAGTTAAATTAGGTTAAAGTTTAATTAGGTTAGAAATAAAAATCTGAGTAAAAAATTAGTAAATTGTTAATTAAAACTCAAATGAAAAAAATTAATTTAAAGAATTTTTTAAGTTTTTTTTAATGTTTTCGTTTTTTTGATTATTATTTAACAAAGTTCAATTCGGTTCTTAGAAATTAAAACAGCGTAAAAAATTATCACATTGTTAATTAAACTCAAATGAAAAAAAATTATTTAAAGAATGTTTTTTAAGGTTTTCTTAATTTTTAAGTTTTTAGAACATTTCACGGGTTCTACCATTTTGAGTGGGGTGATAACATTAAAATCACATAACAACCTCGACCTAATCAATTAAAAAAGTTTTGTATTTTCTAATTGTAATGCTTGCATGCTCGCATTTTAGGAGTTAAAAATTTACAAAAATTAAACTTCTACAATGAAAGTGAACAATAAATAAAAGTAGTTAATATATAAAATATATAATTCATTACATAAAATAAAAACTATTATGCAATAATTTATTGCAATAAGTTTATATTTTATCAGTTAAGTAATTTTACATTTTATCAATATAATTTAGAGTGTAAAATTTTTATATTTATCAGTTAGTCCAATCAAAAACATGTACATTTAAATCTGGCTCTTTTTTATTATTATTTTTTTTGCAACAACCATACCTTTTAAAAAGCATTACAGTTTAATATGAATTTAGTTTATTTTTATTTTTAATAATGACTGCGTTTTTCATTTTAGTTACAAAGATAATTATTGTTTTTAGAGAAATAAATAAACTTTTGCGAAAGCCTAAAGTTGCTTCTGTAATTTGTTTTAGGGGAGTGTGGGTGAGACCTAATAATTTATATATATATATTGATTTTCTGTTTGTTTGTTTTTCTAGAAGCTATCAAATGGAATGGCAACTCAGCTATGGATTGTGATTTCCCTGAGCGCGACTTAACTGAGGCCATAATAAAACAACATGAGTGTAGTGGCAGATGCTCTTCTACACCAGACTGTACTCATTTTACATGGAACAGCTTAAATGGTGGAACTTGTTGGATGAAACAAGGGGTTGTCTCAAAATCTGATGCTATAGCTAGCGAGAAAGGCATGATATGTGGAGTAGTTATTAAAAGTAACAATATTTACAACATTCAACTTTTTTTTTGTTATTTATATTTTTTATTTATGAAATATACTAATATATATATGTGTGTGTGTGTGTGTATATATATATATATATATATATATATATATATATATATATATATATATATATATATATATATATATATATATATATATATATATATATATATATATATATATATATATATATATATATATATATATATATATATATGTAAATATATATATATATATATATATATATATATATGTATATATATATATACACATTAACAAAAGTTTAAGACCACCTAGCTGTAATAGGGTTAATGCATAAATGGTATTCATTGTTGAATCATACTAAATGGAATGTTGCAATAGCATGCAATAACCTATTCCTATTGCATCAGCCATCATTTAATCATGATTTGCAATTGAAAGAGTACTATCAGTGTTACCAGAGCAGCAATTAGAAATATTTTCATTGTGTGAATGTAAGCTTTGTAAATGGGCAAAAAAATCATCTCTTTCTGAAAGTGAACAGGCTTAAATTATTCAATGAAGGATATTCAAAATGGCAAAATAGTGTAAAAATCAGTTGTAGTAAGACAGCTATGCACATTGCAATTTCTAAACTTCTTTTTTTTTTTGAAGTTTTTGTGACACTTTCTTGTTCAGGATTCTATTCCATATCTCTATAAATCTTTAGTATTTGCCGAAAGAGAAGATGATCAATTAGATGTGTGGTGTGAGTAGCAAGACAAGAAAAGAAGGCATAATCTTAGACAGAAAACACAATGCTCTTTGCTTGTTTTACCTATTAGTCTGTTGATGTAGCAACACTCTTTGCGTGTTTTAAATAATTATAAAACAATAAAAAACAAAAACACTTTGTTTTAACTTTTAAACAACATTAAAATGTCTCTTATTGGTTGATGTTGCTTAAATGTTAAAAAAAAGCATTTCAAGAGATTTTCTATACCACTAAAGCCTTTTTTGTCTACTATGTAAGGATATATATATATACATTTTTTATTATCTTATGAAAAGCATATTATCATAAAACTTATAGTCTATTTATATATTTATGAACACTGGTTTTTTATGATTTTTATTTAGAATCATTATCTAAAACATCTATCATCACTGTTGCGGTTCTTGTTCCTGTTGTTATTGTACTTGCTGTTGTTATTGCATTTCGAATCTGTATTAAAAAAAAAGTTCAATTCCAAAAAACTAATTTGCATCTTAAGCAATTACAGTAAGTAAAATTTGATCAAAAGGTTTAGAAATAATAGAGTTATATAATTCTAACTTGAATTGTGTATAATTATTATTTCAATACTCATTATGCTTACTTAAATATATTACTAATCCTATTGCAATACTTTAAATATTACAGTAGTTACAGTAATTAAAAAAACTGTATTTATTTATTAATAATACTGTACTGTAATACTTTATTACAGTATTACACAAACTGTAATGTAGTATTACAGTTTGTGTTTTGTAGTTGTTGCAAAAGGGTCGAGAGAATTGCAAATAAAATTTAAAATTAAAATTAAGTAGCCATTAGTGGTTTTGAAATAAAAAAACTGCATTTACATACATACATACATACATACATACATACATACATACATACATACATACATACATACATACATACATACATACATACATACATACATACATATGAGTATTACAGCAAAATATGTATAGGTTTGTTTTACAATACTTTAAAATCAGAGGACATGACCCATGATCCCTATTTTTCTACTTTACTAATGCAAGGAATATAAATGATAAGTTAATAAATGGTTAGACATGGTTAAGATATTATTGTGGTAAAATAATTTTTTGTGTGGGTTTTTAAGCACAACACTCTTTTTTTTTTAATATACTTTTATTACAAATCAAATTGTCTAAAAAAAAATTCCATTTCAAAAAAAAAATCTCTTTCCTCTTGCTCAATACAATATACATGTTATATAAGCATGTATATTGTATTGTACATGTTATATAATGGTATCAAGCAGGTGGAAAGATACCATTTAAGTGCATTTTAAAAAAGTTAAAGAGTTTAAAGTTATTATGAAAAAAAATTAAATAATTTAAAAAAAATGAAATTATTAAGAAAAAAAAATTAAATAAACAGGAAACCAATTTAGTGGTTAAATAAAAGCTGTTGTAATAGTAATGTTGATTAAATTATAAAGGATAATTAAATAAAGGATTAAATTCATTTGGTTCATGATCATGATAATTTAACACAAAGCCTATTTAGTCAGGCATAATTTCATATAACTCGTTGTAATTTTATCGCAAAGCACTCTGGGATGTCCTGCCGGACCTCAGAATTTTATAATATTAAGTAGCGAATAGTTATTTTTGTATGTACTTAAAAGAATTTTTATCTTAGTTATAACAATGCCATCATTTTGTGCTGCTATAAACTGTGGAAATAAGAGTGGAAAAAACTGTAAAGATATTTCATTTTTTCGTTTTCCTAAAGACGAAAAAAGGCAAGTTAATTCATATATTATGTATAATAACTTTTCTTTCATAAAAAGTTAATAAAATTATTATTGTAGTATTTTAAAACATTCTTTTATTGTTTAATTTTTAGATGTAAACAGTGGGTCATCAACTGTCGTAGGAAAGATTTAGACAAAAAAGATTTTGTATTTTTAAACAAAAACTTTTATTTGTGCAGTAATCATTTTGAAAATACAATGTATTATTCTACAAATAATGGTGGAAAACGTTTGTTACAATCAGCAATTCCTACTATTTTTAACATCCCAAATCCTCCTCCACTTCTTGGTTGCAAAAGGAAACCACCAGTTGAACGTCATTCAGTTCCAGCAAAAAAGCAAGTTGTTTGTTTACCTGTTAATTCAGGTAGTAATTTAGAGAACAAAATGTCTTCTAATAAATAAAATTTCAACAAACTTCAAAGGTAACATTGCGAGTCAAAGTTTCTAGACTACGTAAACAAGTTCGACATTTAAAATCCAAACAAAAAACCTAAAAAAACTGTGATGGGTCTATAAAACATATTTTAAATTTATCCAGGAAATACTTATCACCTATTCAAGTTAGTTTTTTTAAAAGTCAATTAGAAATGAGTAAACGAGTCAATAAAGGAAAACGCTGGGCAGTTTGTGACAAAGTTTTGGCTTTGCGAATTCTGTTTCATAGTCCTCAAACTTTTAATGTCTTGCGAACAATATTCTGTTTACCAAGTCAAACCTGTTTATTATTATTTTTGTCCCATGTATTTTCAGATCTTCAAGAAGGATTTTCTACTCGATTGTTTTCTTTATTAAAGTTACGTGCTGATGCAATGAATCCGCTTAATCGTAATGTCAGTCTTGTTATGGATGAAATGTCATTAAAACAGCATTTAGAGTATGATAGAAATTCTGACAGGATTTACGGTATGAAAAATGGAAAACTTTTAAATCAGGCTCTTGTAATTATGGTTAGAGGCTTGGCAAATAAATGGAAACAACCAATAGCTTATTTTTATACTAATTCAACAATAGCAACAGCTGACTTGGCTTCTTTACTACGTGAAACCATTTCTAAGGTTCAAGAAACTGGTTTACACATTAGATGTGTAGTTTGTGATCAAGGATCTACTAATATAGCTGCCTTATGTTTGCTTGGGTTTTCCAATAATTTACCATACTTTCCTAATCCTTCCAATAATAAAAATATTCATGTTATTTTTGATCCTCCGCATTTAGTAAAAAGTATCAGAAACAATTTGTGAAGACATAACATTGACATTAATGGTGAAATAGTTTCTTGGCAACACATCCAGTCTCTTTACAATTTAGACAAAATAAACTCTGTGCATCTAGCGCCAAAACTAACAGATAGACACTTAGACCCTGGTCCTCTTTTATCTATGAACGTCAAACTTGCCACTCAAGTTTTTAGTTATCAGGTGGCTTCTGCATTGTATTGCTGCTCTAATACAAATTCACTTCCTTTAAGTGTATTACCAACAGCAAAATTTGTTGAATGCATGGATACTTTATTCGATATATTGAATTCATATAAATTATATGCAGATAAACCAGCTCGATGTGCTCTAACTTTGAAAGGAGCCAGTATTTCTCAGTTGGAAGAGTTAAAGCATTGGATTGAGAAATGGAAATTTTGTAATGTTAGAAGTCAAGCAAGTATATCATGTCATTAGGGTTTAAGTGTCACAATTAATAGTGTTCTAACCTTAAGTAGAGAGCCATTTTCTGAAGGTTTTCAATTTGTTTGTACTTCTCGTTTTAATCAGGACTGCATTGAAAATTTTTTTTCAATTATTCGAAGCAAAGGTGGTTGGAATGACCGTCCAAATGTTAGACAATTTCGAGCTGCTTATAGAAATGCTTTGTTACTTTTATCTGTAGAAAAAAGTAAATCCAATAGCAACTGTATAAAGGATTCAAATTTTGAGACAGCTTTCAATCTAAATGATTTTATGAAGTGTTGTAATCAAGCAACCACTAATTGTGGAATTTATGAAACAGAAAATAACATACCTAAAGGAATATCTTATTTTCATCCAGGGTCATTTTATATGTTTACTGGAAAAATTTTAATGCAACCAAAGGATCAAGCCCTTTTACACATGGCTGGATGGCTTATTCAAAAGGTTAAATTATGTCATAGGTGTGCAGATGTACTATTTCTTAGTTCAGCTGACAATCCATCAGCTTTTATGTCACTAGTTTGTGAAATGGAAACAACTTTTTCAAAATTAATTGATAAATATCTTGAAAGAGATGGACTGGCCATGATTCTCATAAATAAAATAAAATAAAAATGTCATTTTCAATTTTTGCACAATCAACATGAAGAACATGCGCTTTATTTGGAAAAAAACATTGTTCTGTTTTTTGTTATTACAAGAATTTTTTATTTCATAAAATTTTTAAACAGAGACATAAACCCACGCAATAAGTCAAATGCAAAAAAAATTGCACATATTCTTCATAATTAATATATTATGATACTATTTTTTCAATTTTTTTTTTTTAATAAGATGCACTAATAACTTTAACAAAAATTATGTTGTTTATTACAAGAGTTTTTTATTTCATAAAATCCACCCAAAAAGTCCAAAAAAATAATATTGCTTCCAAATTGCAATTTCAAAAATTCACGTATTGCCCTTTGGTATATTATTATATTATTTTTTCAATTTAATCTTTGTAATGAGACTTTGTTATGTTTTAATGTATATTAATAACTTTTGTTAATGTATAGTAATAATAACTTTTATGTATAATAATATACTTTTATGTTATAAAAAAATTACACTAACTTTATGTTCTACAAAACTCTTTTTGTTCTACAAAACGTTTTTTTTCCCATTATTTTATTCTTATTGAAACATTCTAATGGTAATCTTAACAAAATTGATGTATCTTAATGTTACAAAATTGAGATATCTTGAATACAAAATTGAGATATTTACAAATATCAGATAAAACAAAGATGCAAAGTTTATTAAAAAAAAAAAAAATATTTGTGTTAGTTGCGGAAGAAGTCCGACAGGACATCCCAGAATGCAATTTCGATCAATTAACAGGAGTTTCGCGAAGTGGATAGGCTTTGGTTTAACATAAAAATTGAAGATCTCAACAGGTTTGGAAAAATTTGTTAAAAATCTAGAACACTTGTTTTTAAAAATTTTGAAACACTTGTTTTTCAAAATCAAATTTCTTATAACATTTTTATTTTAATTTTTTCTGGCACTACGGTCTATGATTATATGTTGAAATATATTTACAACTTACTTTAGTCTTCAGTTTTACTTTAGTTACTTTAGTACTTTAGTCTATAAATATAATTTTCATTTTTAGTTTTTAAAAATGTGTCTGCAAATCATTAGTTATAAAGTTCATTTTTTTTTTTTTTTTTTTTTTTTTTTAGAAACGAAAACAAAAACGGTTATTTAACAGACAACTGGAAAATTTCTCCTAATTACATAATTTTTAATAAAAAAGTTGGTCAAGGAGCATTTGGTAATGTTTTTATTGCAAAAATTAGTTCCAGTGTTCTTGCTAAAACTTGTTATGCAAGTCAAACTGGTATGATTTTACATGGTGTAAGAGAAGATTCTGCTGTTAATGTTGCAGTAAAACTTTTAAAAGGTAGAGTTAGAGTATGTAGCAAACTTTTACGCTCTAAATTATTGAAGATTATTTTTGTTGCTACCATACCAAGCAAAGTTTAATTTAGTGTCTAATATACTTTTGATGTTCTAATATAATATTTAATTATTATTTTCATTGTTCGTATATGCACCATTTCATAAAAGTTTTTCAATTTGCCAAATATATAAATATTTAAAAGTGCTTATCAGGTAAATAAGACGTGTTAATACAATTGACTTAAACACAAATAAATTAATCAAAAGTTAGAAAGTTAATTTGGTAAATAAACATTAATTACAAGTTATAATTAGAAAAACTAAAAGCGATAGTAAGAATTATAATAAAATATATAAAAATATAATCAGAACTATATACTAGTATATATAAAAACTATAATTTTACTCTAGAAAAAAAAATTACACCTAGTAATAAATATTTATTATGAATTAGATGATGCAAGTCAATTGGAGATTAATGATTTTGGTAATGAAATTAATCTGATGAAAGGTATTGGGTATCATAAGAATATCGTGAATATGATTGGTTGGTCCACAGTTAGGAATCAATTGTGTTTAGTAGTTGAATTTATGGAAAATGGAGATTTGTTAAATTTTTTGAGAAATAGACGAACAAAAGTAAAATATTGATTTTATAATGCTAAGATTTTAAAATTTTTTATAATAAAACTTAATTAAAAAGTTTATTAAATTAACTTAATTTAATGTATTTTTTGTTGTTAATTTTGGCGTTGTTATTTTTTTTTAATTTTTAGTTTTAATATGTTGTATTATGTCATGATATTATGATATACAAATACTTGCAATGTATGATTTAAATACTGTTATACATAAAAATCAATAAATATATTTGTGTAACATTGCAATTATCATTTATTTGTATTTGAATTTATATTCTTTTATAGCTTATAGCTTCAATTTCGGAGGGAGATTCTTCAAAAATTATGTTTACACAGAACTACCAAAAATTGCTTGAGGTTTTTAAATCTTTTAATAAAACCTTTTTTATAACAAATTATATCCAACTTTTTTCATTATATATCAATTCTGTGAAAATAATTAACAAAACTTTTTATACTATAAAACATTGAAAAAAAAGTTCAAAAGATTTTACAAAATAATTATACAAAAACCTTTGTTTTCATTGTGAAATAAACATATTATTAAATAAATTATCATATTATTAAATAAACTATCATATTATTAAATAAATTATCATATTATTAAATAAACTATCATATTATTAAATAAATTATCATATTATTTTAATTTTTTAATCACTTAACTTTGAAAAGTACAAACGCAAATTTTTATTAACCCGTTAACAGTCCGTGCCGTAATATTAAGCAAATAAAAAGTGGTTTCTAAATGTCCATGCCGTAATATTACGCAAACAAAAAGTGGTTCCGAAATGTCCATGCCGTAATATTACAGTTTTATGCATATCCTTATATCTTATAAGGATATGCATCGTAAAGAACACTTGTTAGGTAGAAAAGTAAATATGATCATTATACATCCATTTATTATACATCCGTTCAAAAGTACTATAATTTATAAGCACACTTGCACAAGACACCTAAGCATAAGGAAAAATTCAAATTATACATAAATTTTATTTGACCATTGTTTTTGCTATAAAAATATTAGCAACATTGCTGTATGTGTTGTGAGATGTCACATTCTCGTAAAATACATACATAATTGCATAATTAAAACTTAATAATAAATAAAGTTCATTTATTAAAATTAAAGCTTTTTTATTCTTTAAAGCGTAAGAAAAAAAAATAGCCTTATAAAAGTTATTCAAATATATTTTAATTTAAGTTTTACAATGTTTAAGTTCGTCTGGAAATAAATTTGCCTTTTTTTTTTATTTCTTAATTTTGTTCCTAACTTTTGTTTTGTTATGTATAAATAATTATTTTTTTTATATATATAGTTTTTTTTATTGTTTCTGAAATTTTTTATAGAAAACAAGTTTAGTGCACGAAACTACCCTAGTTAACACTGAGTCCATGACACCTAATGACTTAATTTGTTTTGCGTGGCAAGTGGCATCGGGAATGGTTTGAGTTTAATTAGTGTGAGTTTTTTTACTGCTACTTTTTCTATGTGTTCTTGTTTACTTTATTTCTTTAGGAATACCTTTCGCTTATTAAACTGGTACACCGAGACCTTGCTGCAAGAAATATCTTAGTTAGCGCTGATAAAAAAGTTAAAGTATCTGATTTTGGTTTAACACGTCAAGTCAACGATGACTTGAATTATACGAGCTGTACTCATCGCCGTTTACCAGTTAAATGGATGTCAGTTGAAGCAATATTTGACCAAAAGTTTACGACATACAGTGACGTGTAATTTTCGTTAATTTTTTTTTGTAAAATCTTTTTGTTTGACGTTTTAACATTTTATGTGTAAGTATTGTTTTTAGGGCTAATTAGGATATTAAAATGTTTTAGGTGGGCGTATGGCGTTGTTTTATTTGAAATTGTAACGCTGGGTAAGTGCATGAGCTTGTTATTTTATATGCAGTTTAATAATTATCTTATATTTTTACGATTTTTTTTTTCTGTCTAATCACCTTATCGTTTATAGGAGGAACTCCTTATCCTGGATTAAGTAATTGTGAGCTCCTTGCTCGTTTAAAAACTGGTTACCGAATGGAGCGACCGGATAATTGCTCTCAAATCATGTAACAAATTATTGTAATTGTAATAATTAATATATTACTAGTATATTACTAGACTACTTTATTGAAGAAACTTTTGTAGACGATTTGAACGGTGACTTTTAAATCTTAAATTTTAGGTATGATCACATGTTACATTGTTGGAATGAAGATCCATTAAAACGACCCAGCTTTACCGAGTTACGCGAGTTGTTTGAAGAAGTGTTATGTCGAGGTGGACATTATTTTAGCTTTGAAATCAACGAAAAAAATAACTATTATAGCGTACCATCATTCAATAGCATTTCTTCTGATACAAACGATAACTTACAAGAAAAAGAATTTTTACAAAAGCCTGTTTATTCGGTCGAAGAAATGAACTAAAAAGTTTATGAAGTTATGGAAGCTTAGTATGTTGAATATTTTTGTAACTCTTCATACTATGTTAAAATATTTGCTTTTTTTTATAGGGGGGCGGGTGGCGAGGTCGATGACGGGGAAACCCCCTCCCCTTCTTCCTTAGATATTTAAAAAAAATTTTTTTTTGTAAATTTAACAAAGCGTGTTGTTTGAAGATGAAAGTTAATTAGTACTACTTTATCAGAGTCTGGATACACCAAATCATAAAATCGCTCCTCGACTCTCCTTCCTGAATGTTCTGGATCCAGCGAATCAAAAAACCCTAAAATTTGCTCCCTTCTTACTAGATGCTCTGGATCTGCCCCTGCAGTGATTTAGTAACCGTTTAAAATAAATTGTTCAGTTAAACTATTAAATGCAGGATAGAGAAATGAAGTTGATTGCCTATTTACTAACACAATCCTTTTATTTATTTATTAGATTTTACTTATTCAAGAAGGATGAAGAAAGAACGTCAAACAAACTGGTTTGTGATGAAAGGACATCGAACAATCTGATTTGTAACACCTTTGTTTTCCTCGAATATGCGTACTTGACAATTTATTGTTTTAAAGCGCCACGTTAGAGAAAAATATTTTGTTGGAATTTGCAGAGTATTAGTTATTTATGTTAATTTCATTTTATATATTTAAAGTATAAAGCATAAACGAAAGCATAAAAGAATTTTATTATTTTTGTGATATTCGGTTCTATTTTGTGCAGATCGTCGTCAAACGTTAAATAGAAATAGCTAAAACCACTTCAATAATAAATAAAACGTCAAAGACATTAAAAAGAAGCCACAAATGATCATACAACAACATCAAATAGGAAGTTAGCAATTATTATTGTTTATTTTTTTCGATAATTTTTCCTAAAAGAGTTTCAACTATAGACATTTTTACACTATTTTCACTGTTAAAAAGTGTTTCAAAATTTTTATTTCTTGTTACCATGAGGCGTAATTGATTTTAAGCGATTCTTTAATCTGTGTTTTTCTCGCTTAACGTTACACCTTTAGATGTGTCCAGTTAAACTTGCCATCACATTCTCCACAATGTTTAGTTGCACCGGATGACTTTAACATTTTATACTATTTATTTGATTTTTATGATTTTTGTATATTTTCTATGTAATGTTTGTATAATATTTATTTGTTATACAGTAAATTATTTTTTTTAAATGTTGTAAAGTTATTCATATTAATTTTATTTTATAATAGAAAATGTTTTGAAAACGAATAATGGCAATTATAGATTTAAAAGTATATAAAAATTTTTTTTTTGAAAAAACATTGAATCGCATCAAATGATTTCAACGATGATATACATTGTTCATTAAGAAAAGTATAGAGCGGAGAGACGGAGAGAGTTCAATAGTTTTTTACAATTTTAAGTACATGAGCATTATGGGTATGACAATTTTTTAACCCTGTATCCCCATACTCAATTTAGTAGAGTTTTTATGTAAAAATCAAAAAATATTAAACATTTATACTTTATCTCAAAATAGTTCACCCCCTCCTCCTCCCCCCTCCCTCCATTTAAAAAGAAGATTAATGGAATATAAGAAATGTGATTTTGCGACACATGTCCCAGTACTTTACAGAAAAACAATAAGCATGAGTAATAAAAATAGTTTTACAGTGTATTTGAGTCAATTATTAGGCCACAGCTTGAATATGCAGCATCTGTATGAAGGGCGTACTATGACTCAACCGAATCCCTAATTTCAATTTAGAACCGAATATGAGAAATTTATTACACAACCGAAAATATTTACGAAAAAAATTAGAACCGAAAAAATTTCAATCGAATTTTCGATCGAAAATCATTAATGATTTTAGAACCGAAAAAATTTCGATCGAAAGTCATTAATTGTTTTAGAACCGAATTTAATTAAAATGGTTTACAACCGGAAGTTGTAGCACCGAATTTTTTTAGCGTTTATAAATATTTTTAGTTAAATGCTTTTGTAATATAAGTTTAATGCGCTTACTGTTTTGAATACAGTCTTACATAATAAATTGAAAAATAACACCGTTTCTTTTCAAAAGCATCTTGTAGTTAGTGGAATAATAACAACAGAATGGAGTATCAAAAAGTTGAAGGCGAAAGGAGAAATTCATTCCTTTACATAGCTGGGAATAATTGCTATGTAAAAAATAAGAATCACAATGGTTACATTTACTTAAAGTGCAAAAACTATCAACTGTGTGTTGGAACTGCAAAAATATGCGAAGGAAGTGATTTACTTGAGACAATGCGAGGCCACTTTTGTTATTCCAAAACAAAAGATTTTAGCCATTTGGAAGTGATGGAAAGAATGAGACTCAAAGCTGCAACTACACAAATTCCGTTACGCCAGATTTACATGGAAATCATTCGATACTGTCCTGAAAATGTTAAAAATTCTTTATCCTACTTAAAATATGAACAGATACTTCGTGGTGCAAGAAAAACTCAGTACAGTGCAAATCCCAACAGCGTAGAAAAACCAGTATTGGCAATATCTGAGCCAAATCCATTTACCAACATTCTGAAAGGAATCGTCAAGTTTGAAGACCAGTTGGCCATACTATTTTGTTCATCAGCACTACTACAAATACTCTCAGGTAGCACAGTAATTTAGCTCAAAATTGATGACTTTTTTTTAGAAATTTATTTAACATCTTTTAACCTTAGCTTGCTCATAATCTTCTGTTTTTGTTATATTTTTCAATACTCTTACAAATTTATTCATTTTTTTCAGGATCTACAATTATTTTCATTGATGCAACATTTCGCGTTGTTCCTAGCATCTTCAAAGGAGGTCAACTACTAAATATCTCCATTATGCATTCTGACATTGTCCTTCCTGTGTTTCATGTACTTATGACTGGGAGAAAAGAAGGTATTTACATCGGTATAAATTTGTATCAAGAAATATTTTACAAATCAAATTATTTGTTCATATTTTGAAACGGCTTGAAAGTGTGATTTATTTGTGACAATTTGCTCATATCTGCCCTTAATAACATTTTGATGATACATATGTAATCTTTATTGCATTTACAATTTCAATCTTTGTTTACTTGAATTAAATTTATTATTGTGAAAAAATTTTTAATGAACTTTTTAGATAATTTTGAATGCAGAACTGGAACTCAACCAATTGCAGAATGAAGTTGTTTTTCTGCTGTGAAGTTGTTTTTCTGCTGTGTAGACACTTTTGTATGTGTCTTCAGTGTTCAGATAACCTTGCAAATGGCGGAAACAAAAAATGTCCAATTTGTCGTTCAAAAATTGAAAACTTTTTAAATGTTTTTGTGTCTTAATTGAAGGAATTGTTTGATTATTTCCAGTGGAGTAGCGAAGAATTTTGAAAATTTCAAAAGTTACTTTACTATTTAATACACGGATAAATAGGTTTATTTTATATTGTTGTATGTACGTTGATATCTCCCGAACTCTAAATAGAGAGTTAATATAGTTTTTGCTATACTTGGATACATTAAAAAAATACTTATCTGTATTTCTTCCAATTTTATAAAGTCTTTGCATTTTTAGCCTTTATTTCTCAGAGTTCTAGACCATACGTTAGCGTTGGAACTGCTGAAGGTTTATACAATTGGATAATTAATGATGGATGTGCGAATCGGATACCAAATTGAATCAGAGTTTGCACAGTTGTTTGGAAATTTGATACCCTACTGGTAATATTTGATTTATTTAGTGAGACAAAATTGAATTTTTCTGTATCCTACATGGAGCCCAGATGATAAAGTTTTTTATTTGGTATTATTTGATGGTTTTTAGGGTTATCTTGCAATTAGTTACTAGTCGCTTTCCGGAAAGCAAAACTTCCATTTTGACAGCATTGAGTTTAATGCCGTTTAAGTTATTGTAATTGTTACACGTTGTTATAAACCTTTTAAGATCAGATAGAGTAGAGTTAAGTAGAATGAATGAATTTAATTACAAAAAAACCATTAAGTTGCAGTTTTATTCTTTTGTGCACGAACTTCTAAAATTTCTTTAAAATTCGAGCAGCAATTATTGTTTTATACACTTACATTGGAGACCGGGTGAATAAAAAAAAACATTTGCTTAAGCTCAGCATTTTTGGAGTAATTGCATAGCTTTACGTAAGTAAAAAGTTTAGCAAATTTGCTCAAGTTTCAATTCACGTAAAGTCACGTAAAGCAGCTTGTTTACTTCAAAAACGCCAAATAATTGCTTAGCTTTACAAGAATAAAAATCTAACCAAATTTGGTCATGTTTTATTCACGTAAAGCTGACTAATTTCTAAGTAAAGGCAATGCCTTTTTTTTTATTCACTTGGCCTATGAACATAGTATTTTTTAAATTTTCGAAAAAAAGTTCTTTTTTTTTTTTCTGCTAAAAAAACTAAAACCGTATCTAAACTAAAACGAGAATCCGTTTAAAAAATATTGATAATGGCACAAAGTTCCTACTGAATGTTCCCACTGTGCAGTGGCGTAACTAGGATTTTGGGCGCCCGAGGCAATGCTGAAAATAGACGCCCCCTGAAGCAGACATGTAAGCTAAAAAAAAAAAACTTAATGTTTCCAAGTTAATGACAATTTTAATTTTAAAAATGCAAAAGCTAATCATAATGCATACTCAAATTAACTCATGTTTCCAATTACGTATCCATTATTGTTCGTGTAAATTAGTCATATTATTTTAGTTACCTACAATAAAAGTACACATACTGGTCATGTGAGATGCACACCTAGTATCTCTATTACTCACTTCTTTCAAATGTAGCAGTCACTTAAACATTTAAAGCATTTTCACTCTTTATATTATCTCTGGTATAAGTGTGACAAATATAAATAAAAAATTTTGACCTTTATAAATAAAACTTAGTCCTGCAGCCAACTAGCCCCGGTCTCCCCTACTGTCTATAAAGTTAAATGTGTTGATTTAAATTTGTTTTAGTGTTAACAAAAACTATTAATAATCAAATTGAAATAAGTTTTTAAAATTTGAACAAAACGGTATATCGCATGAATTTAATAAATTTTTTACTTAAATAAGTCCTAAACCATCAAGGAAGTCCCTATTACCAGAACTTTATTTAGTGACTTCTTATTACACTTGGATAAGTGCATATTCTCTGATGAGCTATCCTCTGATTTATCAATTGAAGAACTTGAAAAGGCGTTGAAATCTATTTAAAAAAAAATCATGTGGACCAGACAAAATAAATGGAAACTTGATTATAGATTGCTTTGAGCAACAAAAGATGTTCTTTTTAAAGTTTTCAATGCCTCTATTAAACAAGGAATTTTTACAGAACAATTAAAAATTGTCAAAGTTATATCTATCTATAAAGAGGGTGAACAATCCCGAATATCTAATTATCGCCCAATTTCTGTGTTCTCTGTATTCTCAAAAATCCAGTTTAAATATTCTGTTGCACATAATTATCATAAGAATTAAGTGCAACAGAAATTATAAAAACACCTTGACAAAAATAACCTACTCTATGTTAATTAATTTGGTTTTAAAAAGCTCAACAGAGCATGCAATTATCTAAGTTGAAATTTCAAATTCTTTTGAATAATCAAAATATACATTAGGAATTTTTATCGACAGCCTTCAATACGGTTGACCATCACTTCCTACTCGAAAAACTGAAATACTATGGAGTAAATAAGCAAGTGTTAAAGTGGTTCAAAAGTTACTTAACAAACAGAAAACAATTTGTTGTTCGTATTGACAACTATCACAACAATTGTTTAAGTATGACCTGTGGAGTTCCACAAAGTTTAATCCTCAAACCCCTCCTTTTTTAATTTATATAAATGATCTAAATAAAGTAACTAATCTGATGAGCATCATATTTGCTGATGATAGTAATTTATTTATCTCTAAAAGTGACATTAGCGAACTTTTTGCCACCATAAATAAAGAGCTTAAACTTTTATCCCACTGGTTTAAATCAAATAAATTATCATTAAATACTGACAAAACTAAATGGACTCTCTTTCATTCGCTTAGAGAAAAAAAATTTCAAAATCAAAAAAATTCCTCAAATCTTTATTGATGAAATTTAAATAAAAAGAGATTCCTTATAAAATTCTTAGGTGTTTATCTCGATGAGAACATTAATTGGAATCAACATATTAGCTATGTATGCATTAAAGTCTCTATAAACATTGGAGTTTTACACAAAGCTCGAACTTATCTTAATAAGAAAAACTTAAGACAACTTTATTTCTCATTTATTCACTGCTACATAAAATACGCTAATATTGCCTGGGGAAGTACTGAAAAAAGTAAATTACATCGTCTTTATCGCTGCCAGAAACTAGCAATTCGCATAATTAACCTTGATGATCGTTTTTCTTATTGTAAACCTTATTTTATTAAAATTAAAATTTTAAATATATTTGAACTCAACGTTATGAAAATTTTATCCTTTGTTTATATGCGGAAAAACCATCTATCCCCGCCAGTCTTTAAAAATCTTTTCAGTTAAAACCCCAGCAACAAATACTCTTTTAAAAAAAAAAAATTTAACGAACCTTCTTGTCAAACCAATTTAAATTAGTTTTGTCTTGCCAATCGTGCACCGCACCTGTGGAATAAACTTGTTTTACCAAATGTTGACCAAATTCTTTTTGTCTTTTTAAAAACAAAATTAAAAAACTAATTTTTTCCCTCGATATCATTTTAGAGTACTACTAATTAATTTATCTATTATATAACTTTATTTTATTTTTATTATTTTTCTCTAAAGTTTTGTTGTTTACAACTATTTATATTGTTTTTACATATGTATATATATTTTTATATATTTAAAATATAAATATATATATATATTTTAAAGAAATTTTAATTGTTTATTTTATTGTAAAACGACTAACTTTGTAAACTGAAAAAAAAAAAAAAAAATAGATAAAAAAATGAAAGGATTTTGTAATTCGATGCAAATTTTTTTGGTTGTAAAATTCGGTTCTAAAACTTTCGGCGCAAGAAAGGATTTTGTAATTCGATCCTGCAATGAAAGTATACTTTTCGGTTCTAAAATGTTCGGTTGTGAAATATTTCGGTGATATTTTCGAGGATAAATATTTTCGGCTCTATCATGTGACAGGGTATGAAGCCCATATTGTATTAAAGTATAATATTGTATTAAATTATAATATTAATAGACTGGAAAATGTACAACGTAGATCAACTAGGATTGAAACACTGAATAGTATCTGTTATATAAAGTTAACATTTTATTCGAAATCAATTTTTTATGAAGTTGACAGTCTTATACCAGAGATAATATAAAGAGTGAAAATGCTGTTATGAATAATGATGTTTAAGTGACTGCTACATTTGAAAGAAGTGAGTAATAGAAATACTAGGTGTGCATCTCACCAGTATGTGTACTTTTATTGTAGGTAACTAAAATAATAAAACTCAATATTAGATAATTTGAGTTTCGGTGTGACAACTAAAAATGCAAGGTTATGCATACCCGTACCGTGAGGAAGGGGGGGGGGGTATGGTACCTTCCTTTTTTAACAAATTGTCTTTGTTTCACACAAGTTTTAAAATAAAATTGAGCAAAAATTTTATTGCCTATTTTAAACTCCTTTTTTTTTTTCAAAAATGACCCTGTCGAACATATATATTTAGGAGATATGCAAAAGGCACCGAGTTTTATTGCACTAAAAAGTACCGCACAAGTGACAGCTCCAGAATCTCCAGACCGAATGGGCACAACACGTGTTCAAAACATACTACTACGTTTTTTAGACGTCTTTAACACGTTTTGTACTGGAAACATCACAAGATTAGTTAAAAAAAAAAATTTTTTTCCTTGTTTTTAAACCTTTAAAGTTCCTTTAGAGGACAAAAGAGGTCTCGCTTTAAGAATATGATTGTAATTTGGGTGAGTACAATTGCAATAACTTAAAATGCAACAATTTTTCAATAAGCCCAATTGCAGTAAGAATTCTCTGAAGTCAATCAAGTCTCTTTATACTTCGTATGTTTGAAATTATAGTTCAATTTTTATTTTTATTATTGTTCTTTATTATTTACAGTTATTTTTTTATTGATTTTTTTTTTTATTGTTTCCGTTATTTTTTAAATGTTTATTATTGTTTCCGGTGATTTAATGTTGAGTTACCAAAATGTATTAAAAAAAAAACAAAGAAAAAAAAATTTAATACGATTTAAAAACAACAAAATGTGAACAATTTAAAAAGTAAAATAATTTAACACTACTCCTTAAATGTTGTAGGTTGAAGATGTGATGTTGTAAGACTGTAATTAGGAAAATGCACTTTGTTCAGAGGATGACTATTTTACAGAAACTACTTTTTTCAGAAAAATGATGCATTACTTATTGTTAATTATAAGTTGTGAAAATTTTATTAAGTTTTTTAATAAAGTTTATAAAATATATTATAAACGTTATCAATTTAAAAAACCAAAGATTTTGTTATATATAGTATATCATTGTTGTTTTAACACATTATATTGTTGTGACTTCAATATGTGTTTTAAATGTGTAATTGAAAACATTTTACATTAGAAAAATACATTTACATGTATTTTTCTAATGTAAAAATACTAGTCACTTTTAGATATGTGTAGTTCAAAATTTATTTTAATTGTATCACTTTTTTGGCTTTCTGCCTTACAAGCTGTTATATGGAATGACAACTGGGCTATTGATTGTGATTTTCCTGACAATGACATGGATGAAGCTGTAATTGAACGACATCAGTGTGCAGGCAGGTGTTCCTCCTCACCCAATTGTACTCATTTTACATGGAGCAAATTTAATGGTGGAACTTGTTGGATGAAATCTGGGAGTGTCACAAAATTAGATGCAGTAAATAGCCAAGGCACATTGTGTGGAATAATTATTGAAAGTAACATTATTTACAGCATTGAAAATTTTTTACGTTTGTTTTTTAATTCAATGTTTTTGTAGTTTCATGTTTTTTAATTACAAAAAGTTATTTCATACTTAAAGCTCCAAAGTTAACTAGGAAAATGGTTTCAGATTTGTTCTTTATGTATTTTAGCAAGTGGTTGAGGCTTGAGTGGTTGGCGGCTAGTAATCTATCAATTAATTGGCATTGTTATCTGCCTAATCTACCACTTTTTGTACAATCCGTATTGGTATCAGCCTTTTTTTATTGATTTACCCGTTTTTAACCGTTGGCTTTTTTTAAAAAAAAATTTGACTCTGCATTATGAAAATAGTTATATGTTAAATTAACCAAATTCACTTTATATATAATTTAAGTATACGCTGTATTTTTGAGACAAAATTATAGAACTTAATATATATATATATATTTAATATAAAAAATTCAAATCTGAAAAAGGTGCAATCAATATTACATAAGTTGGTAATTAACAGAAAATAAAGATGAAAGTTAAATAATATAAAAACAGTTAAGAGAAGACTTTAAAAACTGCAAACTGCATGAGCGACAAAAAGATGAAGACAGGACTTCTAAAGTATTGTGTTTGAGGTAAAAAAGACTAGGTTTGAAAAACTTTTTTTGAGCATGGTGGAACAGTTACAGTAAAAGGATTTTGCTAAACAATCAATTACAAGAGATTGAGTTTAGGTAGAACAAGAGTTTTGTGTTGGAAAAAAATTGAGTTTTAGGGGTTGTACAAGAAATGTGTGAAACATGTACATTGCTTGAGCAGTGACCATGGTAGTAGTTGAAGAAAATTGAAAAAAAGATGCAACCACATGAAAAATATGATAGAAACACAAGCTTGGGAGCTAGAACAGGTTCAACTACATTTACAAAGTGTTTTTCAATTATGTTTAAAAGAGAATGAGTATAATTAAAATAACTAGCCCAAATTTAGCAACAGTATTCCAAGGACGAAATTTGAGATTTATAGAGCTATAGAATAGAATGAGGACTAAAAAAAAGGAGCACCATCCTGTCTGAAAAGAGATCACATTCAAGATAGGCTGCTTTTTTTAAGCAAATAAAATCTCATAACTTTTTTGACCAACTTATATGGTTGTCTTATCTAGCTAATAATAGGAATGAAGATAATCCACTATTCATATATTCCAGCCTATTAATGAAAAAGGAGTGCAAGGAATTTAATTTTTTGATAGACATGTATATAGTTTTCATATACATGTCTGTCAAAAGATTAAATTACTGTCATGCAAAATCCTGACACAATATTTGTTAGTGTGGAAGATTTTCCCATGCTTGTCTGCTGAGTATGCTGCTTCACAAAGATTTATTCACTTTTTCACTTTAATAATTTTCTAAATATAATGTTATTTTAATGTTATTTTAATGAATTTTTTAAAGCCACTGTTTAAAAATTCATTAAAATAACATTAAAAGCCACTTAAACAGATCAAGTAACTTTTTTTAAAGTATAAAAAGTTGTAACCATGTTATTGCCCCCAAAATGTAACCATGTTATTGCTATCTACCATAAAATTACTGAAAATTGATGGGGGAAGTGGGACAACAACTTTTTGTTTCTGTCCAGATTTACAGTTTACACTGTAAAGCAGATTAATAAATTAAAGTCACACAATTAAAGCTAAAATACAAATTTAAGTACTAAAGTGTCACATGGGCCAGGGGCTATTGCCCCTCCTAGCCCCCTCCTTGATTCGGCACTGATAGTTTGTGTCACTTGTAAACATTGTGGTTTCTGATCATAAAATTGAAGAATTTCAAAATTCATCCGGCCAAAAATTTGTATTATTTAAAAATACAAAATAATGTTTATGAAAATGTAATTTATTTGTAAATATAACAATTTTTTCTACAATTAAATTACATTTGTATACATTAGACATTATTGTAGACATTATTTTGTATTATTAAATCATAAGTTTGGAGAAGTTTTATTTATTCAATTTTTATAATTTAATGTCTCAATTGAAACAAGTAAGCAGATAAGATAGGAAGCCAATCCGTTACACTAACCATTAGCCCTATCTAATTAAAAATATTGAAAAGATGTAACATTTTTATGGGTTAAATGACTAATTTTTATTGTTGCTTTACAATTGATGCCTTTTTAATAAATTCTTTTCAATAACTGGTGCATTTAAAAAAGCTAAGTGGTTTATTATGCAAATGTCACTTTATTTTGAAAATATTTTGAGTTTTTTTTATTAAATACAGCAATGATTTTCTTTTATAAAAAACTTTATTAACATTCGATGGTTTCAACATCAACATTATAGTGATATCACACAATATTTTTTTTTTTTTTTTTTTTTTTTATTTCTCACAAAAAAATAAAAATCCTCTGTGTTTTAAAATGAAAAGTTTTTTTATTATTATTTATATTATAACTTTATATTTTAATTATTTAATATTTATTTTTGCAGTTATAATTCAAAAGTTTTACTTTATACAATAAATTAGTTTTTCCAGCAGGCTGAAAAACAAGACTCTAATAAGCACTTAAGTAGTTTTGAAAGTATAAACGACAGTTCCAGAGAACACTTCTGCAAGACTATAACAGGTATGTTGTCCAGACCACAAGCCGTAGAAGAGTCTAAGCAGGAAAATAATTTAGATACAGAATCTAAATTATTAAAGTATTTTAGATACAGTTTTTAATCTAAATTAATTTCTAACTTAAAGTAATTTCCTTAAACTGGATATTGCAGCAGCACAATAGGAATACCATGGAGAAGAGTGAGACATAGAGTCTTTTAGAGGAAATAAAATTCCATGCCAGCCTGAATCTAAAAAGTTACAAAAGCAAATTTTTCAGATTACAAAAGAAAAGATTTCTACCCAAGGACCATCACAACAAAAATTGAGGAAAGAGTCCCAGTCAGCTTTAAGTTAGTTGTAAGAGATACAATGATAGGGAGATTTTGATGATGAAAAATAATGAGATAACAGTTTTAGAGAGATTAAACCGTAATCAGAAGCACCTAAGGGTGAATGTGGAGAAACTGAGCGCTAACTAGGATCAGAAACAAGACATAAGTTGAGTAGAGAAGGTAAATAGTTCAGATTGTCTGGAAAGCAAGTTTGAAAGTTGACTACTTGTGTTAGAGATTGAGAATAGCAAAAATTATGGACCTTAATGCCTGCAGAGTCACTGATACTAGAGCCAAGCCATTCAGTATAAACATTAAAGTCACCAACAACAATGATATTGGCTAAAGGATAAAGAGAAAGGGCTTGGTCAATTTAATCAGAAATAACATTGAAAATAGTGCAGTCTTGAGATGAAGGAGAGTGATATAGAACAAAGCAAAAGGTTATAGAAGTGATGCTAAACAAAAGCACATAAAAGAATAGTCAGTGGATTCAAACCTAGTTTCCAAACAAATGGGTAAATTCTTATGAATTTAAATGCATGTGACTATTGAAGTCTTTACAAATTAAAGGTAGGTAATCATCAACACTAAGACTGAACTCAAATTAGTCTCACAAAGATCAAGTAGGTTTAATGAACATTGTAAGAGATAAGACTCAACAGAAGAAAAGTTACTTTAAAGACCACAAATATTAGTGAATGATTGATTTAGAGAACATGGTAATGACAATGGTTTTTTGTGTTTTATAGTTTTTGATACTTTGTCATTTTCAAGTTATTTAAAAAACTTGACTCAAAGCAGGAATAGTACTCAGTACACTATTTAATAGTTCAAGCAATTGCCTCAATACTATTAATAAACACTAAGCTATAACAAGAGGTTTAAATTGTGGCCTCAACCCCCAGGCCCTATTAAAATTATAAGATATAGAAGGGGTTGATAGCCAGGTTAGAAAAAAATTTATAATACTTAATATATTATAATTAAAGTTGTAAGTTGTAAAGTTGGATTTCAACTAAATTGACTAAAAGTCGACTAGTCGAAAGTTGAAATTAGTCAACTTTAAAAAATCGAATAGCCAATTTAATCAACTAAAGACTTCCTTGTAATTGACTAAAATTTGAATAAAAATCTTAAAACACATATCTTTTCATTCGATTAAACTTTTCAATCTTTAATTTTTGTTTGTTCATTTAGTAACAATAGTATGTACTATTATAACTATAAGGGTTGTCCACAAATTACGTCATGCAAATTTTTACCATTTTAGACTCCCCCCCCCCAGCTTGTCACAACATCGTAACACTTTAGTTACAAATTCTGTATAAAAGTCACAAAACCACTAATCGATCCCCTCTTCCCC